GCCGAGATGAGATTTTTCATTTGTGAGGAGGAGCTCTCAGACACAAGAGACCCAGCAGACATTTGAAGTCATTTAGCAGGGACTGCACTGCACCATAATATTCTGTGCCGGAAGCAAGAGATGGATAAAATTATATGTTTACATGCCAGATCCCAGCTTACTGATGTATTTGCTTTTATCTGTCAGGGAGAACATAGTTTGATCAAAGACATACAGTATACTGCTCATCCACTAAGATAGTGCTGGTGGTAGAGATTAGTTGGTTTTTTTTTGTGAAATGGCTACAGATTACGAAAGAGCATTCTCATGTAGATATAAACAAATTAGTAATAAAAAGAGTATTGTTCAGTGTTTACTTTACTGCAAAGAAGCAAAAGTCACAGAGCACTCTGGAGTTATTTAAATTCCAGTCAAAACAAAAGTTTTTCATTTTTAAATGTCAGGAAAAAAGCAGAAAACATATATTTAACTAAAAATATATAATTACACAGACATCTCAACAACTATATCATACCAAATGTTTCAGTATATAGTGTGTCCACTCTTTGCTTGTATTATATCTTCAATTTTTCTGCAGGGATATTTTTCCACACCTGTAAAATTCCATCTTAGAACTTGGTTGCATTTTCTGCTTTTCACGAGCAAAGTTTTTCAAAAACACATTCACTGATTTTAAGGTCTGGACTGGGTTGGACAGTTTCTTGTTCTGAGAACACCAGCAGATTCTTTATTTGATTTGAATTTTTTATTCTTTTGTCATTTTCCTTTTCTCAGTAGTGGCTTCTTGACAGCTACACACCCTTTTAGACTCATAGTGTTGGGTTGTCCTCTCACAGTGGAAGGATGGACACAATCACCTGTGGATTTTTTTTGGCTCTAAAGCAAGAGTGGAGCTTGATTTTCTTCTGCCTCTCAAAGATAAACGCTTTGTTGGTCTACCAGGTCTTACATGGTTGATCTTTTAATTATTTTTTTGAACTCCAATTTTGGAAACTCATGTTTTTCAGTTATTTTCAAAATTTTTCTCTTACTTATGCAAATTTATTATCTTATATCTGATCTCCTCAGCTATATCTTAAAATGACTAACTTGTACTGCAAAATGCAAAATACTCTCTGGTATTTAGGTGGTCCCATGTTGGCCTGCTACTCCAGCATTGGCTGGCTGCTAACTCACTCGTAGAGCAAATATTTGGTTTAACAATTATTCTTTAGGAAAACTGAAGAAGTAAACTGAAGTTGACTTTGAGACATTCAGGGGGTCCAAAGGTTAATTAGGGATTCCTGGACCCCCCAGGTCCCCCTGTATTTCGCATCTCGCTTGTTTTCGCATTTTAGCTGTTCTAACAATACCACTGTTGATCAGATATTGTTTTGACTGGAAATTAAATAAATAAAAGTGGTACTTTTTGACAGTTCTTTTGCACAGTACCGCACATTGTAGGTCCACTTTACTGGTGTACAGCCCATCTGTTGATGCATAAATTGTATTAGTTATCCTCTAGCCCTTCATCACCGGTCATTTACTGTTGATCAGATATTGTTTGGGTCGTGGCTCATTCTCAACACAGTGACACTAACATGGTAGTGTGAGTGTGGAATGAGTGTATCAGATACAGTAGTGTTGCTAAGGTTTTTACACATCAGTGTCACTGCTAGGGTGAGAGTGATCCAACACCCAATGATATCCAGTTGATCAGCTCTGTGTTCAGAAACTGGCCTGTGATGAAAGGCTAGAGGATGGATAACACAAGTTGTGCATTAACAGATGGGCTACAGCAGTTATCACTAATCCTCTTCCTGGCTTCCTGCAGGCTTTAGTTCCAAGCTGCATCTAAAATGCTGCCTCCTTCTTACCTAACACTAGTGTATCTAATCGAAGACTTCTGAAGAAGTTAAGCTGGAGCAGGTAAGGCAGGTAAGGTTGTTGGAACTCCACTCCACTGGAAGGTAGATCTCCAGGACCTGGGTTTGTTGACCACTGGGCTACAGTCTCTAATTGTACCCCATGAAGGTGGAGCAACAAGGTAGGTGGTACTATTAAAGTGGCCGATGAATTTATATTAGGGTTGAATTTCAATCACTGCCATGTCGATAGCAGCTAGTAATTGCGTAAAACTATCATAAGACATTTCAATATTGGGTTTTAACCAATAAATGATAAAGTGATGGACACTGTATAAAAACTGTGTACTTTCCCCACAAATGCAACAAGTATCGGGTGCTGTCTTTTACATCTAAACTGCAAAAACATAAGTGTAGGCCATTTTTATAGAGCTGCCAGTTTTTTTAGCAAATGATCACCTACCAATAGCTAAACTCTCAAATCTGATCAGAGAAAGAAGAAAAACTAACAGCAGCATTTCAGTCTGCTAAACATAATAGTAACCTTCTAGTCCTTGGATCATTAGGAGTCTATCTGCAAAACAGATTTCAGAGTAAAACCAACAGTGTTATGTAAAATTATGTAAAAGTCACGTCAAGTGTGAAATACAGAATTGTGCCCACGACACTGACCACATCAGACACTGCATACAATGTTCTGGAGAAAGACTCTGTGATGTAATCACCTGTTCCCTAGACAACAAACGTCATTATACTGAACCAAAAGGCAGGCACATTTCTTTCACTTTAAGGCTGTTCTCTGTAAGACTGAGAACATAGGATCTATATATAGTACCCAGAGTAATACAGAACAGCTTTTCCATAGACATGAGTCAGCTGCCTGTGTTCTAGTGGAAGGTACCACATAGTGGCCATTTGTGTCACTGCAACCATAGAAAATTACATGTTATGCTTGATTTTGGTATTGTAGTCCTATACAGAAATTAGTATGGGATGGGTCTTAATGACTATATAAGTACACTGCTTCTACAACATGCTGTTCTTGTCGCAACACTACTTGCATCCTGCAGCCAAGGCCAACCATCACTTGACCCCTTCACTCTGGACACTTGGGATGGGGGGGTGGAGTCCACATTGATCAACAGTCAGTGTGCATCAGTTGTCTCCAGCTACCATTATGCCTCTTTATCCAAAATCGACATGATGCTGCTACTGAGATTCTCTGGAGTGCAGAACGTCTTGCTTGTGTGGTCACTCCCAGTGCACCAAACATCCGCCAGACTGTCTGGACATGAAAGCCTCTGCAGCCAACCTCCACTGGGATCCATGTCTGCCAGCCCCATGGTACAGTCCGTTTAATGATAATTAGCCTCTTGGTCCCTATATTTACAGTCATTGGTGGCTATCTCTGGTCCAGATTTATTTGAGGCCCTTTAGTTTACTCTGGAATATAAAGTGACCACAATCAACATATGTGGACAGTTAAACCTTTTTTCCCCTGTACATCATTTTTGCATTTTCTGACTCTGCTTCACCTACTTTTCTGTTGTTTTTCTAACAGAATGTCACTCCATTCACACGTGATCAATCTCAAAGTCAATGTCAAAGTCAGCTTTCTCATTTTTTCTCACCAAAGTTGTGTTGAGTGAGGAATGAAACATTCTTTCTGCAAGAAACAGTGTTACGTTTAACACATAAATACAATAAATACACCCAACAAACTATACAAAAACACTATAAAATAACCTAAACTATAGAATATGCAATAAAGTACATAACCAAGAAATACAGGTCAGTTGAGAGTACACAGTGCACATTAGGGTAAGAGAAAATAGTCTAGCAGGAATGAATGTTACTGTATATTACTGTCAGTGCACACTGATAATTAGAAATAGTTTTAGCAGCTTAACCACAGACACTGTCAAAACTACAGACAATGTATACAAGATATATGTGCATATAGTGAATGAAATATGATATCTCAATCTGAGAACGCACAAGACACAAGACTGAGATTGTAACAGTGAAATAAATAATAATAAGGCAGATTGTTTTACAGGCTCCCAGCACATTCACCACGTGTAAAACATGGCCAAACACATGCAAGAATGAAATGGCCAAACTGGTCTTACAGCACAGACGTCTGCAGTAGCTGGTATAGCTACAGTGCCCCCTACTGGACTTTTTTAAAAGAGAAAAAATAGCATTTAATCACACACATACTAACAAATAAAATGACGATGATGATGACTCTTCTTCTTATTATTATTATTTTCTATATTATTATTAGATTATTATAAGTATTATTACATTAGTAGTAGCATTAGTAATAGTACCCTGCTTAAAAAAAAAATCATAGAAACCGTTAGATGTTTCGGTTGGTTCCTGGTATCCAGTAGCCACCAATGGTATTTTGTGTTTAATTGAGGGGTTGATATCAATGTTTCCTATTGGGATCCAAAGGTGTCATACAGGAAATTAGTGGTCTTTAATGGTAAACTTTAAGCAAATTCTCATTAGAAAAATAATCAGCTAAAAAAATGTCTTCATTTAGCCAAACAGGCTTATTTCATTCACCCATTTCATTTGCGCATGTAAATCTAAATGAAATAAGAATCTGCTCACAGATAGATTATATGAATAAAGATAAAACCATGAAATAACCACGGTTTGTGTGAAAACATGACCTAAAATAAAAGTTTAACAAGCAGATGTGTTACCCTGAATGTTGTTGTATAGGTCAAAAAAAGCTAGACCTTTTGGGCGGTGTGACAGGGGGTGCATCCGAATAGTTTTCCTTTCCGATCTGCTGGCTTTGATTTCGCCTGATCTGGTAATCATGTAGATCCACATGTTACTTAGCTCTGTCTATTTGTTTAGTAAGGCCGTGGTTTACAGATCAGGCAAAATCAAGGCAAGCAGACAGGAAAGGAGGTTCATTCAGCTATTCCAGGTGTAGCCTCTGTTCTTTATGTCACAGACTGACAGAAACTCCGCTCTTCCCGTTCTTTTGAAAACTGCTCAGAAAACAAACTTTAACATGTACGTCAATTACTTTTTGCCCTTTTTTCCTTCCGCGCTGCTCTCATTGGATCGTTGCGATTCCTCCTCTTGCGTGTTTCCGATTAAATAAACAACTTCCGCTGACGCTTTTTGAACGCTTGGCGGTTGGGTGTCTGTGTGTTTTTCTTTTACATATACATCGCTTATTGAGCTCTTTTATACTGGCTAGTTTTAATAGCTAGCGGACTGAATTTCATTAAAAACGTGTGTTCGCTCCAGTTAATCTAAAATGGAACCAGCAGTAGCGAAGCTTCTCATTGGACTCGCCGTAAAAATTAGTCGCAGCGACGGTAAGAAATATCAGTTAGTTAAAGTCGCGTTGGTTAGACAGCCGTTTGAGTTAGCTAGCTAAATTAACTGTTTTTTGAGTTTCGTCATTCCAGAAACAAATTTAGGTTGCTGCTGGGTAAAAAAAAAACCCTTAGGACATTTCCATGCGCGTTTTCATGCCTGTTAATGCTAAGTTAGTCATGTTTTTTTTACTGTGTTTTGGTTTGAAATTCGGCACTGAGGAGTTTGAGTACGTTACGCTGCAGAAGAGTAAAGACAAGTAGCTAACGTCTCCACAATTGCAAAAGGGGTTCAGTAGTCACTGGTGACTTTACATACCGAACAGAACTGCATATTTGTATAATATACATTATTGTCATTGGGTATTTTCTGTGGTAAATGAAATTATCACCAACGTGTGGGTTGTCTAACATATGACCAGCAGATCGTGAACAGCTCACTTGTAGTAGGAGCATGCCTTCCATTTCAGCGGAAAACGGATTTGTTTAACTTTTATAGGTTAGCGTAGTTAGCTAACCGAAGCCTAAAAACTCAAGACGTTTTGTCTGTAAGCCAAAACGGGTATTTTCAACACACAGGGGAAGCCGGGGTTGATTGACACTTTTCATTTTGATTCCCTTATCTCACAAATAATTGTTATCATCTAAAACTAGATGTAACGAAAGTCAAGGGTGTCCTCCATAAATGAACTAGAGCATTGGGTCATGATGTCATTCGTTTGATAAAGGTTTTGAATACATGTGCATTTATGACATTAACAGCGTGCTTGGTTATCACAGTCCATGAATGGTTGGCTATACTATACTTACAATCAGAAGGTCAAAGATTTTACATATGAATACACATTGAAATACTTTAAATGAATTTGATGTATTCAAAATTATTTAATTCATATTCATATAGATTAAATTAATATATAATTCTTATCAAACAAAAAGGTTAAATTAAATAATTCTGGTGTACCAGAAATAACTGACAGCCAATCCATTTTGACAGCTGACCCCATTTTCCCCCTTTTTACTTTAGTTTAGAGATGGATAAGTCTCTTACTGTTCAGCAATTGATTTTTTTTTTTGAAATCTCAGCAGTAGATACCGTGCCTAACTAAGAGATACTAAGTGCCAAGTGCTGTTGCCCAAGCCCTGAGCAGCAGCTTTAAGTCAATGTGTCTTCATGTGTTTTTCCAGCTAGTGAGTTAATGCTTAACTGATTTATTGAGTTTAGTGGTAGTGTCAGCTGTCTAAAGTCATTGCTGATAATGTGACTTGTGTCACTCACATATTAATTTGTTGTGTTTCTATTTTTGTGAAGGGAGAGTGCACAGTGCAACTGTGAAAACAGTCAATTCTGCCAAGTCAACAGTGCATGTGGAATGGAGTGAGAAAGATATGACCAAAGGAAAAGAGGTTGGCAGTGCATCCTGTTAAGATGACATTTCAGTCCTGTTGGTTGTCAATCAGAAGCAACACTTCAAGACTTTATAGTGTTTTACAATAACTGCTGACAGTACATAAATGTGGTGTTCTTGTGGTCTTCGCATGTTTTGTCTGCATCCTCTAGATTGATCTGAGTGACATCTGTCAGCTCAATGCAGACCTAATCCAGTACCTGCAACCTCCAAGCCAAGCGGCATCTAGCTCTGCTCCAGGCCCTAACCCTGGACGCGCACCTAAAGCAGAGAAGGTGAGTTGTTGAATTCCTGAGATGTGTTAATTGTGGAATAGAATATGTACACTGACCAGCCACTTTTATTCACTTTGTGGTCCATCTGTTTCTCTGCATAATTTATTAACCGGTTTTCCCACTGTATTTCAGTGGTCGGGACCCCCACAGGACCACAGAGCAGATATTATTTGGGTGGTGGATCATTCTCAGCACTGCAGTGACAGTGTAGTGGTGGTGGTGTGTTAGTGTGTATTGCGCTGGTATGGGTAGATCAGACACAGCAGTGTTTTTGGTGTCCATTTACTGTGCACATTAGTCTACATACCTACCTTGTTGGTCCACCTTCCAAGCATAATTATAGAGACAGTAGCTCATCTGTTGCTGCACTGTCATCTTCTAGTTTTTCATCAGTAGTCATGAGACAAGGCCTACGGGACACTGTTAGCTGGATATTTTGGTTAACGGACTATTCTCAGTCCAGGAGTCACACTGAGGTGTTTAAAAATTATATTCTAAACTGTCTGATCCACTTGTGCCGGCGCATCTAACACACCACCACCACATCAGTGTCACTGCAGTAATAGTTGTTGTCTTTGACTGATCGTGTAATTTAATGTGTACACTCTGTTAAAGCCATTATCAGCAACTACTTCTCTGATTGTGGCTGAGAATGATCCACCACCCAAATAATCCCTGTGCTGTTGTGGTCCTTTGGGGTCATGACCAGGGTAAGTAGAACAGGGTAAGAGGGGGTTACCGAAGTATGCAGAGAAACAGATGGACTACAGTCTATAATTGTAGAACTACAAAGAGCACCTATATGATAAGTGGAGCCGAGAAAATGGATAATGAGTGTAGAAACAACGAGGTGTACTTAATAAAGTGACCAGTTGGTGTGGTCAGCATCACAAAAAAAACATAGTCAAGAGGCAAAAATCCAAGTTCAACGTGTTTGGTCCCAAACAATGCCCCCAAATTAGCATTTATGATGTTAGGATGACTGCGGTTATTTGAAACGATTGCAGCCAGCTTAAATAACTGCAGTCATTTTTCCACAGTCATTGGATTTCACAGTCGTATTATGCCGTAATAAACAGTGTTAATTGGTTGCGTTTCACAAAAGCAACTAAATGTAAATAAAAGAAAGCAGTAAATGCAATTATTTATATGGCACGTAATTGTTAGCTAAAATTTTATGTTTTGGGTGCCATTACTTTAAAACACAGTTTTAAGTTCAAATTTTAAATGTAAAGATTCAGCACTCGACATCATGTAACTTTGACCCATTCTAACTTAATCTTTGTCTTTTAGAAATCAGAGCTTCCTTCAAAGACGTCAAAGATACCAGCTCCTTCAGAGCGTAAGTGACATTCTGCTTTGATTATTTGCCAGGTATTTGTTCAGACAGAATAATTATGTACAACTTAATAATGTTAACATGTGTTTCCCATTTGAAGCTGCCCCTCCCGTCGGTCCTTCTGAGGAACCAGGTGCATACAGTGCATTTTTATTGATGTTTGACCCATGCACTCTCACTGATGGGGCTTTAAAAATCCTAATTCAAATCATTACGCTTTTTGTTGGTACACTATGCCCACTCTCTTCCACACCCTTGCTTGTCACAGAGTTAACTGCTTATGAATGTCTATGTTCTTCCTAACCTTCTGTAGTGAAAATCATGTCCAGAGATTGATTTGACTTCAGTCCTAAGCATGGTGATCCAAATGCAGTGTGCTATTAATAGTCATAGGCTTCATAGATATGCACCCTGAATTTATTTAGCTGAAATGTTTGCTTTGCACTAAGTCCTTTATCTTGGCCTACAGTTCCCAGAAGGATGACCACACGGCAGACATGTCTATTTCGTCCACCTGCTGCTCCATCTGCTAGCTCTGCGGTAGCTGCTGAAGAGGCTACCAGCCAGGAAGTACCCTCGTCTACCATTCCCAGACCCTCAGGTTAGTACAGTGACTGTGTTAGGACTTTATCCATCTTTAAAACGGGCATGCACCAATATAGAGTTTCTGAGTCAATACCAACAGGGTGAAAAAAGGCTTAACGGAGGGTCTTGTTAAATCTCTGAAGTCTTATAATTGTTTCCGCTTGATATGCCAGGATTATCAAGTTATCAGAGGAGGCAGGCTGCTAAACCACCATCTCCACTGCTGCCTACCATTGAAGCAGTGTCTGAGAGTGAGGCCTCAAAATGTGCCCCTGTGGCAAGTAAGTTAAAAGTGCACTGTGCATTCACTTTGCTCACATTTACATTTACTGCACATTTAGTTAGTTGTTGCTGGGAGCAGATTTCCTTTGTTTTTAAGTACATACTTGAATACTACAAATACATTAGCTGCTATAAAATAAATAGTAGGCCAAATTTACATTCAAAACTTTGTGTGCTAGTGTAAACTCAAGTTCTGCAGAAAAAGGTCTACCTGGAAAGTCAAGGAATTGTACACTTAAGTGGAATTGCCATATTTTCTATGGTAATGCATTATTGATGCATTCATAATACCTGTCTGTTCACTTACTTGTCAGATACACGTCTTTCACGAGTCCCAGAAGCGAATAAAACAGCAAACAAAAGGTTGTCCATTTCAAATAAAAACCCTGAAACTCAGACCAAGAAAGGAAAGGTATGTGGTACATTGAAGAGTTGTATGATTTATGGAAAGCAATGATATTTACTTACTTCACTGTTTTTGTCTTTATTAGTATGGAGATATGAACCGACCAAACAAGCAGTTTTACCAGATGATTGAAGAGTACCGGGAGACTGTGGAGACAGTTCCATTGTCTTTGACTGATCCTGTAAGTTAGTGCATACATTCTGTTAAAGCCATACTTCTCCCTTTAGGACATAGGGAGCCGCTGCTTCTCCTTATACTGTCACCATCCACTTAGGTGATATTAGAAATAAGCTTTGGTAGCACTCATTGAGCACTTCTAGGTTCACTGTATAGGTCTGCAATTATTGACTGTAACTCATCTGTTGTCATGCATTACTTAAGCAATAGAACACGAAAGGCCGTGTGTTATCGCAAATAACATCACGGCTGTGATTTGGTCGCAGATCATCACAGCCGTGATGTTATTCGCGATAACACACGGCCTCGAATGTTCTATTGCTTTTATACAACAGTTAAATAAATAAAGTAAGAAAATAAATAAATTGGGCTGTGAACATGGCGTTTAATGTGTTTTAATGTTAGCAGTTCCTTCCGCCAAATATTAGCTCCTTAACAAGCAGCTTGTTGCTACATCAGAGTAACAAGCTCCGCTCACTCACTGCACAGCCAGCAGTTCGTTCTCCAGCTCCTTACACCAAATTCCGAAACTGTCATTACCACTGAGCAAGCTTTTCAGTCAGCAGCTGTGACAGAAGAACAGCTAAACAACCTGGAATTGGCCAGAAATTAACCGAATACCATTGGCCAAACATGTAGTCTCCTCTTCGGAGTCTGACCAAATCGCACTGAGCCGTAAAACTGCAGCAATATCAAGTGTTGCTCAGTTTTGTCAATTTTTGCTAGATCAATATTAATCTTGTTTTGTTCCAGCCAGTCTGTAAAGCATCTTACAGCCCATTTCGTTTGGCAAATGGTATTCGGTTCATTTCTGGCTAATTCCAGGTTGTTTAGGTGTTCCTCTTTCTGTCACAGCTGCCGACTGAAAAGCTTACTCAATGGTAATAAGAGTTTCGGAATTTAGTATAGTCTCGTCTTCAGAGTCTAACCAAATCGGCTGTAGGTCAGATTTGATCTTAAAAGTGTGCATTTTCTGCTCCCGAGTGGTGCAACTGTCTAAGCGTTGCCCCTATCATCAGGAGATCGAGAGTTCGACCCTTGGTGATGTTACAGCCATCCTTCCTCGCTTTCCTGCGAGCGTGTTCAGCTGTCCAGTGACGTTGCGTGAGCGGCAGTTCGAAAAGATGCGGTGGCTGGCTTCACAGGTCTCGAAGGAAGCCTGTACTAGCCTTCGCCCTCCTAGCATTGATAGTATTGTGTGACTGGGGGAGTCCTAACTAGCGGGTGGATTTGGAGAGTACTAAACTGGGGAGAAAACTGGGTAAAAATTAAAAAAAACAAACACAAAAAAGTATCCATTTTCTGTTTGTGCTCAAGATAAGAAGTGAAAACGTTCAAACGGCTTGAGCGTCTCCTACAGCTGTCAAAATCGTTGCTTAGCAGCGCTGTCTCAGCAGAGTGATACAGTGTTTGTGAAAAAACCGTGGTGTTATGTGATGTAACACTTCTCAACTGATCAGCTTGCGTGGCTGGAACTAACTGTTGTATAAGTGTTAATAACCCTCTACCTCATTCATCAGTATCCAGGAACCAGGCTACTGACCAAATATTGTTTGGTGGCAGATCATTCTAAGCACAGCTGTGATATTCATGATAGTGTTGTGGTTGTGTGGTACTGGTATGACTATATAAGGCAGAGCAGTGTTGCTGGAGTTTATACACACGTTTGTGTCACTGCTTGGTTTAGAGCAGTCCACCACCCAAAAATATCCGGTCAAGAGCGGCTCTGTGGTAACTGGAATGGAATAAATGGAAACTGGCCATTGATGACTGGCTTGATGATTGGCTGTATCTTTATTAAAGCCACAAAAAGCTGGTATTGTTAATATATTAAAAATTAAAACAATAAGTAATTACAACTGGTCCACATCACCTTATCTTGGAGGGCAACAAACCGTGCTGCTTTCCACATGGCCATTGAAGCTAAAAGAATTCAGATGTCTCACCCTCTCCCACAATATGGAAAAACTCCAAAAGTTGCAATAAGAGGCTGATATACTAGCCTGAGTCTGATGATTGTTTGCCAGACCGGTGTGAAACATTGATTAAATGGAAGCACATGTGTTCCATCAGACAGATGAGTAAACACACTATAAATATTATTGTTTTTAAGGGTAACTTTGAGAAGGAGCATTCGAGTACTCTTTCAGAAATATCATTCGGTACTCAAAGCCTGTAAAATACTGTCAACCCTAATAAGCTCAGAATTAAGTGGCTGTGACGCTGTTTCAGCAAGTCCTGAATGCACCTTTTAATTGGCAGCAGTTGGTTTAGTAAAAGAATTTTGTTTACATTAGATACAGTGAGTTCATAATTTTTGAATGATGCTTATTTGGAGTTTTTTTTTGTCATTTATTCTTCCGTCAGAATTTTTTCTTCTTAAGTCCTCATCATTTTTCAGCTAGGAAATTATTATTAATTCAGTATTTTTGATTAAATGTTTGTAGCTAAGGGCAGCACGGTGGCGCAGTGGGTAGCGCTGTCGCCTCACAGCAAGAAGGGCCTGGGTTCGATTCCCGGCCGGGTGACCTGGGTCATTTCTGAGTGGAGTTTGCCTGTTCTCCCCGTGTCTGCGTGGGTTTCCTCCGGGTACTCCGGTTTCCTCCCACAGTCCAAAAACATGCAGTCAGGCCAATTGGACAAGCTAAATGGCCCCTAGGTGTGAGTGAGTGTGTGACTGTATATGTCTGTCTGTCTGCCCTGCGATGGACTGGCGACCTGTCCAGGGTGTATCCTGCCTTCCGCCCAATGACAGCTGGGATAGGCTCCAGCACCCCACCGCGACCCAGAAGGATAAGCGGTTTAGATGATGGATGGATATTTGTAGCTAATGTGTATGTCATGTTATGCATATATGTATTGTTGAGTGGAACATGCTCAGTGTATGTAATAGATATTATGTTTGATCTGAAATTCATGATTGACTTTTCAACAATATGCATGCATCATAAACCCTAGACATTTATATACCTGTTTTTGTTAAGGTTGAGCTTCACAGAATTTGTGTATGCGTGCGCAAGCGGCCTCTAAATAAAAAAGGTAAGAGGCTAATATAACCAAGATTAACTGAACATTTTTTTAAAAGTCATTAATCTGTTAAAAAATCACTTTTAAAATGAAGTTTATTTAATGCTAGTAATTACCAGTGTAACTTTACACTTACCTTTCTGAGGTTTTTTGTTTTGTTTTTTTTTTAAATAAAATGGAGTTATTTTGTTCCTCCACCTTTCTTAATTGGATATCTATTGTTCAGAGATAGCTAAGAAAGAGATTGATGTGGTGACTATCCCTGGAAATGGAGTCCTTCTGTTTCATGAGCCCAAGCAGAAGGTGGACCTCACAAAGTACCTCGACAACCAGCTTTTCCATTTTGATTACTCATTTGACGAAAATGCCACCAATGACTTGGTTTACAGGTAACGTAGTGTTTTGTGTGTAATGAATTTAAGAATTTAAGGACACATTCAGTATGGTTTTCCAGTTCCAAAACTGAAAGGGCTGCTGTGTGGCACAGTTTTCTTTTTTCTAAATCTCTACAGTAGCTGACTATCAAGCCCTTGGTCACTACACTGAGATGCATAATGCATGCTTTAACTTTTTAGGAGTGAAACTAGATGATCCTTTTGATGCAGTGTGTGTAATTCTAATATTAACCAAGCTCAATTGTGAGCTTATAGGTCTGGGTCTTTTTCTGTGGGGGTGAGGGAGGTTGCCTGTATCTTTATTTACAAAGTCTTCTTTAGATGAAATGCATGTGAATTTAAATTATTGAAAGGCTGCATTGCAATTTATACCAGTGCTGTAGTCTGACCGAATCCACTAAATAAGGTGATGCTCAAGTGTATTTTGCAGCAACAATGAATATGTATGGTGTATAAGTAGAGTACCCTGATGTTTTTGAAATCACATCAAGCTTCTCTTGTTTCTGACATCAGCCAGTTGTAGCTATTCCTAACTGAGGTTTTGGCTGTAAACAAAGCCCATATTCTACTCACACTCTGCTGGACTTGGTATTTCCTTTGATCTTTCTGGTGTGTTATGGTGTTTTATTGCTTTGTTTTTCCAGGTTCACTGCCAGACCTCTGGTCAGGACCATTTTTGAGGGTGGTAGGGCGACATGTTTTGCATATGGACAAACCGGGAGTGGAAAGACACATGTATGTATAGTGTTGCGTTGAAAAAGTGTTGTACTGTGATGTATGCTAGAGAATTTAGTTTGTTGTTGTTGTTGTTGTTGTTGTACAACTTTTTCCCTCCTGCCTCAATAGACAATGGGTGGTGACTTCTCTGGCAAAGCCCAGAACAGCTCTAAAGGAATATATGCTTTGGCAGGTAATTTGTTGCTGTTTATATGTCCTAATTTTTTGTCATGTATTTGTTTTACACCAAACTGACTTTAAAGTTGTCTGTATACCTCACAGCACAGGATGTATTCACCCTACTGCAACAGAGGAGATACGCTGAAATGGATCTGTGCCCCTATGTGACCTTTTTTGAGATCTACAATGGCAAGGTTTGTGTCAGGCTAGGTGAAAGACTTAATTTTATATTTCTTTAAACAATCAAAATAAGTTACAGGTTAATTACTTTGTGTGTAGGTAATGGAATGCTGTGGCACTTAGCAACCACATCAGTCTTAGAACATACTAATTCATAGACAGAGTTAAGACATGCTAAGCTGGATCTGAACATGAACAAATACAAAGAAATTGAGTTGTATGTGCATGTTTTGCAGGTTTTTGACTTGCTGAATAAGAAAGCCAAGCTGCGTGTTCTAGAGGATGAAAACCAGCAGGTCCAGGTTGTGGGCTTGCAGGAAATGCCTGTCTCCTCTGTAGATGATGTCATAAAAATGATTGAAAAGGGCAGTGCATGCAGGTACAATTTTTTTTATTATTATTATTTTATTTAATGCCGTCGACTCACTAGTGGCCATCTAGGTATTTATTTGTTTTACTTTTTAGAAACCCTTCAATTCTCTTGATTCATTATGGTAAGACCTAAGTTGTGAGATTAGGTGGCAGGGTCCAAGGATGTGACTGTCTAAACAATCTGGCCCCTAATCGATCACTTGATGTATGTAAGTGGAATATAAACTTTGCCTTCATCTGGATTTAAATGCTTCCCTCATCCTCTCTTCCAATGTCTTAGAACATCTGGCCAGACATTTGCCAATGCCAACTCGTCCCGGTCCCATGCAGTCCTGCAGGTGATCCTGAGGCGTCGTAAGCAGCTTTATGGGAAGTTCTCTCTGGTGGACTTAGCAGGGAATGAGAGGGGCACGGATGTCAGCAGCAACGATCGGCAGACCATGGTGGAGACAGCAGAGATAAACCGCAGCCTCCTGGCACTGAAGGTACTGTAACTCCTTTCAACATCTCTTTTCATGTAAGAATGTTCACAATCAACCTTCCGTGTTAGTACCGTATTTACCTTTGACTGTAGGTAGTTATTATGCCTGTTGGGACAAAACATTCTATCTCAATTTTGGTGGTGGTGACACTTTTATTAATTGATTTATTTATTTACTGACTTATTTTGCTTAATATTACTTTGCATAAAATTCCAGCTGGCCTTTACAATGTATGAACATTTCAGAAATGGACAAACAGGAATAAAATTACTTGAAATAAAATCCCATTTTGGGGATTGAAGGTTTTGTTTCAACAGTGCTGTCAAAGAGGTTATTGTAACTGTACTGCAGAATCCAATATTCTTACTTGATACTGGATGTTTCTTTGTTTATTGGCCTTGACAATGTATGAATATTTCATGACAAATGGGCCAACAGGAATAGTACAAAATTACTTGAAATAAAAACTTCTCCTCTAAATGTACCATTTTGGAGATGGAAGGTTTTGTTTCAACTGCAGTGTCAGAGAGGTTAATGTAACTGTACTGCAAAATCCAGTATTGTTGCCTGATATTAGATGTTTAAGTTTTTTTGTAACATGACATCACTATAATGATAAATTTGTTTGTAATGTTTTTGACTTAGTATCAGCTTGCAGTAATGCGAATAAACAACTTTTGTTAATCTTGGGAATGCCTGTGTGTGTGTGGTTTTGGTGATGGTATGTCTGAATTCCCAGGAGTGTATCCGATCGCTGGGACAGAACAGTGAGCACATACCCTTCAGGATGAGTAAGCTCACCCAGGTGCTCAGAGACTCCTTCATTGGCGAGAACTCCAGAACGTGCATGGTAATTAGAGTGGGCTGGTATGAAAGAAAAGACTTTCTTAGAGTAACATATGCTCTAAAGCAGAGTTTTTTTGGTTGTTGTTGTTGTTGTTGTTGTTGTTGTTTAAATCCAGTCCTCCGGGCCTCACATGGTCCACATTTTTGTTCATTCCTGACTCCAACACATAGGGATGGAGCAAAAATCTGGACAGTAAGAGGGTCCTGAGGACAGGCTTACTGCTATAAAGGCATGAGATTAGAACATTACTTGCACTGTTAGAAGGAAATGTTTTTTAGCTGAAGGACCACAATAAGTATTCACTACTTTTGTCACTATTTTCAATAGCTTCTGTGGCAGTCATTTTGTATGTTTTTAAAGTGTAAAGGCACAAATTACCTTTCAAATGTTGTACCTTTCAGATTGCCATGATCTCACCTGGTATGAGCTCTTGTGATTACACGCTGAATACACTACGTTATGCAGATAGGTACACATCCACTTTCTTTAGAAAGCATATTAGATGGCTTTATCCTACTTTTACACTTTATGCTACATTGTTTTGGTGCCCCCTCTAGTGGCTAGAATTTGGCTTTACACTCTTCCCTTTTTGTGTTTGGTAGGGTGAAAGAGCTGAATGGAGTGTCTAAGGGAGTTGAAAAAGAGAACACTAAAGTAACAGAGGAGTCAGAGGAGGGCAGCAGCTCTTTAGAGGAGGTAAGTGTAGCGTGGACCATACAGCTGTGCATATTTTCAGCTAAGGCTACCAATGCATAGTTTTCATTGAGACGTTTCACCCATACTGCTGAAAATGAGCCTTCTGTGTTTATAGATCATTTGGACAGTTGTGAATTTTTTTGAAAATATACTGGAAGACTTCAGTCAAGCTCAATTTGTTTCAGGAGTCTATTCATGCAGAACTTGAAGCAATGACCCACATCTCTGAGGTGGAGGAGAGGTTCTATGAAGACCTGCAGGTGTGTAGTTCTTGACTCCTCCTTGCTCAAATAAAGGCAAAGTTATACTTTAACTACACATACAAAAATCAATAATTATTTATAAATTTATCTTAATGTCTCTTCTATACAATAATTTTTGTGTGAATAATGAATTGTTATTTTCAGTTGACGGTTACTTATTGTGATTGGTTAACAGCTGTATATATTGTAGTTTCTCTTTGAAAATAAAGTTCAAACTTGCTGCACAGGGACAATTGTCCATCTGCTATGTTGAACCATGCTTATGTGATTTTCCCCCCCATCAGAAATAAGTGAACTTCCATTTTAAGTAACATTCACCCTTAAAAGGAAAAGCCCACCAACAAACACAAGTGTCTCTTTATATGTGCCAATTTCTTTTGCAGGGCGCAAGTGAAATTGCCAGAGCAATGGAACATGCATCATACGACATAGTAAATGGTCTCCCAGAAATTGATGCATATATGGAGAAACTGCAAGGTATGAACTTTCTTTATTTCTGATAGAAATCCCTGATGCTGGCAAAAGCAATGTGCGTCTAAAAAAAATGTTTTCTCTGATGTAGGATCCTACCAGGCTCTGCGATCAGCTATCGAGGCACTGAGGGCCAGGTCTTCCAGTCTGGCATGACGTGCAAATGAAGTGAGAATGTAACCAAATTATGTAGTTTGGTTTTTTGGAGGTGTGTCTAACACATTTCTCTGTTATAACCCCTTCCCTAGTCTAAAATAAATTCTAAATGTTGTTTGTTCAGATTATGTTTGTACTGACTTGTCGTTTTGTAAACCTTTTTATTCCCTGAATAAATGTTTACTTCTGACAGTTCGAGTCTGCTGTTATGGTTGTGTTCAGTTCAACTGAACTGTACATGGATTTTCATAGTAAACCTCATCTTTACAAAGCTGCATCAGAGAGCTTGCTTTCACCTTGCTTTGATGTATTTAATGTCTGGATTGTAATCTAGATGCACTTTTGCCAGATTCCACTTACACTTTTTAATAAAGGTACCCCTAGTGTGATCAGATAAGATGCGATTTTACTTACTTGGTTAAATCACACATAAATGTAGACATTGTTTTCAGTTTACTTTTCCAACTGTTATGATACAAATGTACAGGCTAGGCTCTGGTGCTTTCATTGGTCCAGAGTGCAAGAAAGAACCTGGTTTGTGGATATCTTTGACCTTGCAGATCTTACATCTCGCATTTCCTTGTTTATTCTTTTGCCCGCTAGCCAGCTCTCTGCAGGCACATTTTTGCTTATGTAACTATATGCAGATATGGAAAATGCATTCCTTTTACACTTACCTTCAAAGTGACCGAGATCTGTCTTTAACCACCTCAGAATGTGTTGTTGGTTTGAAGATTCACCACCAACTTCTCTGAGGAAGATGAGTGAGCCCAGCTACGATGATGGTGTCTCCACACACCTTTCTTCATACTTGTTACAGATGTAAGTAAGCTCTTCTCATGTGTGCGGTCAGACTCAGCAGTTATAGTGGACTGACTGATGTGACAGAATCTGCTGTTGCACAGACAGAAGGTGCATTCCAATCACCCTCGTAGTTTCCTTCAGTGTACTGCACAGGGTATTCAGACATTTTAAGGGTGATTCCAAACCGTAGAGAGTGAAAAAGTTCCATTGGAAGGAAACTTCAAACAGCACAGGGAGTAGTGAACAGCGGATTATCACTTAACAGGAAGCTGCAGTACTGAGGGTGGGGGTGGTGGGAGAGGGAGATAAAATATTGTAGCGGCCGCTGGGGGGCGTGACAGGCGTGGTGACATTACCAGCGCCAGGAGGGCGAGGTTGAGTGATGCGGAGAGACCGGGCACCATCCTATTAACCCAGGGAGCGAGGCTAATTGTGCTCTCTTGGACTCCCGGCTGTAGCATCACCAGGGAGCAAACTCGCCCACGCTTAGACGGTTTCGCCACTCGGGAACCCCATGATTATTGACTGAAATGATAAGATTCAGCCAGAATTTCTCCCCTTTCAGTGTGGACTGGGTGGTCCTAATCTTATGGAGTCCCTAAGGAACCACGGAAAAAAGCAATGATATTGCGTTCCCTTACTAAATGTTTGCGCTCACTCGCAGACATTACCTCGTGTTTTTGCCTTCCCTTGCCGTGGTTTTTGCATAGAAACGCAAAACTTATATGAGAGAATGCAAAAAATGCAAGGAAACGCACAATGTTTATGAGGGAATAAAAACGTTATGCAGGGGAATGCAATACCGTTGATTTTTTTTATTTTATTTATTTAATTTTTTTTGGGCACTTTAGGGGCTCCATACAATTTTGAGCAAAGCTCTTCTAAGCTTTACCTTTAACAATCATAAGGCCGATGTGGCGTGTCCTGCCCACACAGCTTCACTGCATTCTTCAGTTTCTTTGAGTCTGTGCAACCTAGCGAAAGCTAACCTAGCCAGCATGCCCAAGCTCCCAAACTAGCTTTTATTCTATCTGCCTGTCACCCATTCGTTCATTCAGCCAACTGGCCATGCCAGCTTTCCATCCGTGTGCATTCCCTAGATGTACATCCAGCAGAAAAGTGAACTTTCTGTAAGGCATCACCACATAAAAAGCTGGATTATGTTATGGATAACAGTGAGTAATAGATAATCAAGAATGATCATGGACAGGACGGTATAGTCTACATCTCTGCATGTATACGTAAAACCTGGTTCACTTATTTCTCTCTGCTCACACTATTGTGTTCAGTTCTGCTTGAGTGATGTAGGCTGACAGACATCACTAGGTTCAACACTATCAGCTGTATCCATTAGCATATTAGGCCTTGCCCAAACAGTTCGTAGACAAGTCTGATTAGTTAATTTAAGCAGTTTACATTAAATATATCTTGTTTTTTTTTTATTCAAACTTTACTAGATGTTTTTAATGTAACACTCATTTTTACCAAATTTTTTTTAATGTCAGTCTGTGTTTCCTGGGACTGTAAGATATAAGAGGAATGCTTCATTTACCACTGTATTATTCACTCCATGTCTCTAAGTGCATAGAAAATAAACCTTTGTTGGTGCAGGGGATTCAGGGCATTAAAGCCTTACTTTTCTAAAGGTCATTGAAATGCCAAAATGTTCTCAGATAAGGTTATTTAGAGAAAAGAAATCCTAATCTGAAACTATACTGATCAAGTTCACTTTTAAAGTTCTTTTTGGAGCTTTAACAAATTATCACAAAATGTCACTTCTCAACAGAATAATGAATGAAACTATGGCTTAAATGTCCAGCCATGACAAAATTTTCTGGTACGTCCACCTTAGTGTATTTTAATGTGCTCATTTCGGATTTCATTACCAAGGTGGTATGTGAACATCTTATCCTGCCTGGCATTGATTGTCCACACCATGTTGCATTAAGTTTTTGTATGTAATTAGTATGTATGTAAGTTTTGTATGAGTCGAAGTTGCACTATAAATAACATTCTGTGCCCTTTAATGAACAAGACTGCCATTTTAAAGCCTATTTAAATAACACAGATCAAATAAAGTGCTATACTGAACATAAAATGATTTAGCACAATAAATCATGTAAAATGATCATCAAAGTATTTAAACATCTAAGTATTTTGTGGAGACATTCTTTGTCAAAATATGCCAACAGGAACGTGTTTACTCCTCTAAAAGTGTTAACTGTCGCCTTAAACATGTGTTCCTAACATCATGATATCAAACTGACAGGCAGAAGGTTGGGGTTGCTGAGTATGACCTCTGTACTCTTCCCATCAGTTGCAGTGGGTTCACCCTTCTCTGTGACCCTTTCCACACACACGCATACAGACTGTCATACACAGTTTACACTCACCCTGCAAGCAAAAGCTGACACATGACAAATCAAAGGCCTACTAAACAACTCGCACCAAACAATTTTCCCCAAAGGACAAAAATAAACAAAATCGTCCTGAAACTGGGTGGCCCTACGTCTCTGTGTGAGGCCCACCAGGCCAAGTGCTTCCTCCGAGAGAACACCCCCTTCCCCCCAAACACACACACATACACACACCCCTGCTCACTGGGTGGTATTCACCAAACACACGCCGACACACACATCTCCGAACCATATTCAAACACCACACTGTTGATTTTCCCATGTTATTGCAATGCTAAAAATGCACCCAATTATTCTGTTCCATTTAGCTTACATTCAGACTACACAAAGCAGTAATGGTTCCTTGGTGGTGAGCTGCTCCAGTGATATGATGTAAGCAAAGTTCAGTCCTGCAGGATTTCTGTTTAGTCCATATCTGGCCCTCAGGAGTTAGGATGGCCCAAAGTTTTCCAGCATAATCAGCAGATGTATGTTTACAAGATTTACTTTTGTTTGTTGAGGTGTACAAAAATACACTGTCGATCATTTAATTGTATTACTTCCTCTTAAGCATTTTGGTCGACTTTACAAAATTGTACCGTTACGTTATTAGTAGTGGTGTTCCTGCTGGAGTACAGAGGTGGACAGAACACATACTCAAGTAAATATTGTTACTTCAGTGAAATGAGTCCAGTAAAAGAACATTTCCAAAAACAGCTTGAGTAGGAATACAAATGAAGTAGCTAAAAACTACTAAAGTACTGACAACTCTTATAGAACTGCAGTAGAACATCTCAGTACATTCAGCATAATCATATCAGTACAGAAACTGAAATTTATCAGGTGCTATTCTTCCCATTGATGCACCACCTCAAACAGGTGTTTTCAGTCACCAACATAACATGACTTAATCTAAATGTTAATGACTAAAATGGACCTGAGTAAAAAGCAGATTACCTTCTTCACAAATATACTTGATTAGAAGTAAAAGAATTATGATATGAAACTACTTAGATACCAATGGCTCCAAATCCATCCAAATGTTCATTGAGTACATGTAACTGAGTAAATATATCAATATATAAAACTAGTTCATTTGCCAGAGTATAAATTTTAGTAATTATTTATGAATATTTAGTTAATGTAGTATCAATATTACATTTTTCTAGTTACTATTTAGACTTAATCACCCAGTAAAGCACAACCTTACACGACTCCTCTACCACTTAATCTCCAGTGACTTGTTCTGCCAAGGAGTGACTTCTTACAACTTTACAATGGTCAGATCAGCCCAAACAACAGTTTATATCGAGTACTTTCCACTCTTAAAAAAAGATAGTTCTGCAAGGGTTCTTTAGTAAAGAACATGGATCTGTATAGAACCATAAACACTCAAAGAACCCTCGCATGATTAAAGGGTACATCATGAAATAGTTTTTCAGATTTATGTAGAATCTGCTATAGATGGTTCTGTACAGAACGTATTTTCTATAAAGAGTTCTATATAGCACCAAAAGAGTTTTTCTATTGTCAGGATGTCAAGCTTGTAACAAAAGAAGAACTCTTTTTGGTCCTGTAAAAGATTCAGTCTTTCAAAAAAGGAACACTCTACAGCACATTCTCCATCAATCTGAAGAACGCTTTATATAAAACACTATATAGAACCATTTTCTTTAATAAAGAACCCTTTAAGAGCCATCTTTGTAATGTGTGTAGTCTGGTCCTGGAGAGCCTTTGTCCAGCACAGATTGGTGGTTTTCCTGTTCAGTCAAACTTTCTCCGCAAATCAGCGTTGTTCTATTGGAAAATCCTTAGTGAAACTACAAAGGCTCACATGAGGATTGTGCCAAATACCGTCCCTCATGTTTTGGCCATGTCGCCTTTTTTTAAGAGGCCTAGGGGAAGTTGTGTGGGATTTTTCGATCTGAAGATGTGTTTCATCATGTGAGCTCGGCCTTGTGTCTGTTGGCCTTCAAGTCTGTTGGACTCCGCTCACTG